GCTGGCTATAGTTGCCAGCAGCAATCATACACAAAAAAACTCAACAGGCTGGTTGTAGTCAATCAATAGATCAACTTCAGTACAACCATAAATGTATCAAAATTCAATACATCTAAATACATCTTTGGACAGCTTTAGAAGCACCTCCTTCATTTTACCTTTCATTCTTGTTGCCTATAATTCAAGAGGGGCTCTTGGGAACCTGATGTACAGATGAGGTGGGCCCTGATATAAAGGGGTGATTCTGGAGGACTGATATGACTAGGGAAACTCTGGGGACTCTTTTTTGAGGAAGTGATTCTAGGGACCCTGATGTAAGGGGGGGGGGTTTGGGGACACTGATGTAAGAAAGATTGACTCTGGGGACCTTAACATGGGGACCCTGATATTAGGGGTGGGGTGACTCTGGGTATCCTGGTGTAAGGTGGATGGTTCTGGGGACCTTAAAGTAAGAGGGTGACTCTGTGGATCTTAATGTAAGGGGGGACTCTGGGGACCCTGATGTAAGAGAGGGCTCTGGGGACCCTAAGATAAGGCTGAAGAAGCCTGGGGACCCTGATGTAAAGGGGGGGGGACTCTATAGACCTTAAGGTAAGGGGGGAAAACTCTGAACTAAAGGAGGCAATTTGGGGACTCTGTTGAGGGAGAACTCTGAAGGGGATTCTTGATTAAAGGGGGGAATCTGATGTGCACAGGTGGGCTCGTCCTGATGCTGCACTGTATATGTTGTTTTGATGTTACTTACTCCTGACCCCTGCACTCCATACATTATGCTGTACATTACATAATCCTGACTAGAGATGTAAAATTTCCAGAAATGTTGAAGCCATGGGGAAAAAAACTGACATTTTCATAAAAATTGAAAAAAACATTTAGTGAGTAGTAGTCTTACAAATTGAAAGTCACATTGAAAGTCATTACAGAGAGAATGGGAATATAGCATCAGAGGGAACAATTGAAGGAAGCTCTGAGGAGGAAACAATGAAAAAATCAAGTGCATGTAACTTTAATACCACTTTAATGCTCCAGATGTGTTTTTTTATAATAAAATATATGATTGCAGAAATATTTCAAGAGATAATAATTTCTACAAACAGCTTTCATAGTTCTATATCACCTTTAAAGTATATTCTATCCCAAATGATATTTTTGTTTAGGTTTGGAAAGAGTGTGGATGGGTCGGAAGCTCTGCCATGTTGTTATTGTTATCTGTAATCCTGCAAGGGGAATTACTATCACCATTTCTCCTGACAAGAGATGATCATTTTCACCAGCACAAAACATTGGGGTAAATGCAGATTCGTACAGCGTGGGATACAGTATCTGTTGCATCCAGTTGTGTCTGCCTAAGAAGACATTTCAGTACAGCTATATCCTTTATTGCTCTAAAATTATTGCAATATATTTTGCATTTATTTTGTAGTATTGTGATATGCCTGATTAAACAAATCAGATGGCTTCTCTGTTTTTTCCCCATAAAATCCCTCAGTGCCAGTACACCCTAACTGAACCTCTGCTTTCAGTTAAAAAAGCATATTGCACAAAGATTCACATGAGTCAATCTGAGGCTTTTTCTTTCGTATTTTTTATTTTTACTCTTCCTTTTCCTCATTTGAAGCAACTCTTATAGGTCTAATAGACCCCCAGTATACAGATTCCATATTAGGTATTCCTAACAATTGAGGCAGAAAAATAATTTTAGGGCTTTAAAAGTATATGCATAGACCAAACTTTTTTAGTTTTGGCTAGAGTAGGGAAGGGTTAAAGACTCTGTTAGATTATTTTTGTCATCTGTGTCCCATCCTAGAGACACAACTGGACATAAAAGAAAATATTTCCAAAGTGAGGGGAATTGGAACATTTGTCCCCATTGTATGATTTGCCCCCATCTCCTTGCTATGGTGACAACTCAAAGTTTCCCTTATTTTCAGTTCTGATGACAATGATCACCAGGACAAATAGAGAGATTTAGGGTCCATGCAACTGGGCATAAAAACTGCGGCTTATAGAGGTATTTTCCCCATTTTTCTTCAGACTGCAGAAACAGTTCTACGTTAGCCTACATGTCTATGCACATTGGGGCTTTTACAGGCATATTTTCAGGGGAGCGTTTAGATACAGAAAACCCCCCGACTCATAAATGCAGTGTTTAGGAGTGTTCGGCATCATCAAGTGTACATTGAAAAATCAGCAGAGGAGACATTTTTGGAAAAACATGCTTGTAAAAAATGCCCATAAACACACATTAACACTTGTGCAACATGAGCCACTATGAGCATTTGTATGCTGCTTTTTCTGCCAGAGGCTCTGGCATTTTTTCTGCCACTAGTGTGCATGGACCCTAAATCTACACAGCAGGGACACAGACAGCAGCTTAAACCCAACAGAGTGTCTTACTCCTCACCACTCTATCCAAAACAAAATAAAAGGTTTTGCAAATTACTCTCTAGGGGAGTACCTCTGGAGGAATCGACGATGGAAAAGCATCTGGGGGTCCTTGTAGATCACAGACTCAGCAATAGCATGCAACGCCAAACTGCACAAGCATGACTAACAGACTAATATTCAACATCAAAAAGGGTATTTACTTATGAGATAAAACTATAATTCTACTATTATACAAAACTCTGGTTTGGCCACAACTTGAGTATGTAGTCCAGTTTTGGTCACCAATCGTGAGGAAAGATGTGCTTGGACTGTAGAAAGTCCAGAGAAGGGTAAGAAAGCTAATAAGGGGGCTGGAGGACTTCAGTAATGAGGAACAGCTGCAAGCATTAAACGTATTCTCTCTTGAGAAGAGGGGATTTGATCACAATATACATATATCTAAATAGTAACTGTATCATTGGGAGAAAACTATTTAGTAAAAGATCTTTACAGTAGACACACAACCAAATAATGAGGTTGGATGAAATTAACCACTAGCCGCCCAGCCACTGTATACAAACGGTGGCAGGGCGTCACGGTTGGGCAAAAGCACGATTTAAAACGTGCTGTTTCAAAACAGGTAGGGGGCGCGCGCGCGAGGCGCACTGCCGCCCTACCTTCACCGCCGATCTCAGCCACGGGTGTCAGTCGTCGGATCACAGCCGGTTATTATCAGCTGTGTCCCGGCAATTAGCGGCAATCAGTGGCAGAGAGCAGGGCTGCAGTAGCTCTGCTTTCTGTCAGTTCCCTGACAGTTCCTGACAAGCTGACCAGAAGAAAAGAGTTCCTCTGTCCCGATCAGCGTGTCTCCATGCAGTACACACCCCCGCCCCCTAGTAAAACACTCCCCTCATACAGTTAACCCTTTCAGTGCAAAAAAAAGTTAATCCCTTCCACCCCAGTTCCATTAGTACAGTGTCAGTGTTTTTTTTTTGCACTGATCACTGTATTGGTGTCACTGGGGATGTCAGTGACCCTAAGTCAGTTCCCTCCCAATGTCAGAATGTCCGCCGCAGTCCTGCCATAAGTCGCTGATCGCCACCATAAGTCACTGATCGCCGCCATAAGTTGCTGATTGCCGCCATTATTAGTATAAAAAAAATTTAAAAATCCGAGTATTTTTCCCGCCATTTGTATCCCGCCATTTGTAAACGCTATAACTTTCACGTAAACTAATTAATTTACACGTATTGGGTTTTGTTTTAGCAAAGACATGTCGCAGAATGCATTTTGGCTGAAATTTATGACGAAATTTGATTTTAAATTTTTTTTTACTGGACATGTTTTATAGCAAAAAGTACAAAATATTGTTATTTTTTCTCAAAATTGTCAGACTTTTTTTTTTATAGCACAAAAAATAAAAAACGCACAGGCGATCAAATACCACCGAAAGAAAGCTCTATTTGTGTGAAAAAAAGGACATAAATTTCATTTATGTACCGTATTGCATGACTGCGCAATTGTCCGTTTTAAACTAGCACAGCGCTGTATAGCAAAAAAATTGCCTAAATTGCAGTATCTATACCATAGTTTGTAGACGCTATAACGTTCACAAAAAGCAATCAATATACACTTACTGGGATTTTTTTTACCAAAAACATGTAGCAGAATACATTTTGGCCTAAATTTATAACTAATTTTGAGTTTACTATATATTTTTATAGCTGAAAGTAAAAAATATTGTTTTTCTTCAAAATTTTTGGTCTTTTTTTGTTTATTGCGTGAAAAATAAAAAGCGCACAGGTTATCAAATACCACTGAAAGAAAGCTCTATTTGTGTGAAAAAAAGGACATAAATTTTGTTTGGGTGCAGTGTTGCATGACCGCGCAATTATCAGTTGAATTAGTGCAGCGCCGAGTAGCAAAAATAGGCCTGGTCATTAAGGGGGGTAAATCCTTAGGAGGGCAAGTGGTTAACCACTTGCCTACCGGGCACTTATACCCCCTTATGTACCAGGCCAATTTTCAGCTTTCAGCCCTGTCGCACTTTGAATGACAATTGCGCGGTCATGCAAGATTGTACCCATATGAAATTTTTATAATTTTTTTCTCACAAATAGAGCTTTCTTTTGGTGGTATTTAATTGCTGCTGGGCACTTTACTTTTTGTGCTATAAGCAAAAAAAGTGCAAAAAAATGTGAAAAAAAAAAAGTTTCTTTGTTTCTATTATAAAATTTTTCAAACAGGTAATTTTTCTCCTTCACTGATGTGCGTTGATGAGGCAGCACTGATGGGCACTGATAGGCGGCACTGATGGGCACTGATAGACAGCACTGAAGGGCACTGATAGGCGGCACTGATAGGCAGCACTGATAGGCAGCACTAATGAGGTGGCACGGATAGGCTGCACTGATAGGCAGCACTAATGAGGTGTCACGGATAGGTGGCACTGATATGCGGCACTGATTGGTGGCACTGATAGGTGACACTGATAATGGGTACTGATAGACAGCACTGATAGGTGGCACTGACATCACTGCTGGGCACTGACTGGCGACACTGACTGGCACAACCGCTGGGCACTGACTGGTGGCACTGACTGGCAGCACTGTTGGGCTGCACTGATGGGGTGGCACTGGTGGGCACAGGTGGGTGGAACTGGTGGGCACAGGTGGGTGGGCAAGGTGGGTGGCACTACTGGGCACAGCTGGGTGGGCACAGGTGGGTGGGCACAGGTGGGTGGCACTGCTGGGCACAGGTGGGTGCATTGCTGGGCACAGGTGAGCGCACTGCTGGGCACAGGTGGGCGGAACTTGTGTGTGGCACTGCTGGGCACCGATCATCAGGGCACTGATGATCAGTGATCCTGATGATCGGTGCCGATCCCCGCTCTGACAACTGCCGGTTTTCGGCAGCACTTTCCTCACGCTCTGACAGCGTGAGGAAAGTGCAGCCGAGAACCGGCATTTGCATTTCCCGGTGATCAGCGTGTCATTGGACACGGCTGATCACGTGGTAAAAGGCCGCTGTGATTGGCCTTTTACCACGTCACGTGATCAGCTGTGTCCGTAGGACACAGCGATCATGGAGATCGCCCGGGTGCGCGCCCCCGGGGGCGCGCAGGAGAGCGCGTTCTGGGAGGACGTCATATGACGTCCACCCCAGAACTGGCCGGCCGCAGTGCAGCCATCATTTGGCTATCTGCAGTAGGCAGGTAGTTAAAAAAACTTTTAGATGCGTTTCTTTTTTAACTCAAAATAAAAGGAAATGGAAAATGGTAGTGACATACACACACTCCAGTTAAACTGGATGGAACAGTGTCTTTATTGAACCTCAGCAACTACGTAATTACTGTATGTCTCTACAGAGACTTTATTTAAAGTACAGCTAAATGTAATTCTGTTATTAGTTTTGGATAGATTGGAGAGAGGTTAACACACCTGTCAGATTTGTATTGCCTTCTGTCCCCCTCGTTATAGTGATTAAAGCAGAACTCCAGGTAAATCTTCTTTTTTACCATGCAGTGGGGCTGTGACCCCACTACATGAATCGGCTGCCTGTTTTTTCTAGGGGTGAGGATTAAACTTAATTAATACTCGCCGATTCTATGGAAAACTGCGCTCCCCACGATCTTGCGGTGGACTGTTCCTGTCCGTGAAGTACGCCTTGAGAGTGCTGACATCAGAAACAGTCCATTTACAAGACCACTGGACCACGGGAAGTGGCAGGAGATGAAAGGACTGGTTTTGTGTAGGGAGGATTGGCAGGTCAGGTGAGTATATCTTTGAGTTCCTCTCCCCTAGAGCAATACACTGCTTTAAAACAAACCTGTGACCGTTATGGGGAAATTCAAGTATTTACATATTCTTAAATTAGATCTAAACACAATCGCTAAAATCTCATATATATGTAAGATATTAACCACTAGACTAGAGGGCACTTATACCCCCTTCCTGCCCAGGCCAATTTTCAGCTTTCAGCGCTGTCGCACTTTGAATGATAATTGCACGGTCATGCAACACTGTACCCATATTACATTTTTAGCATTTTCTTTGAGACAGATAGAGCTTTCTTTTTGTGGTATTTAATCAATTCTGTGTTTTTTATTTTTTGCTAAACAAACCAAAAACTGAAAATTTTGAAAAAAAAAGTTTTAGTTTTAAAATTTTGTAAATACGTGATTTTTCTCCTTCACTGATGTGCGCTAATGAGGCTGCAGTGATGGACACTGATAGGCTGCACTGATGGGCACTGATGAGGAGGCACTGGTAGGTGGCCCTGATGGACATTGACAGGCATCACTGTGGGGCACTGAAAGGCAGCACTCATATATGGCACTGATAGGCAGCACTGACTGGCACTGATAGGCGGCACTGACTGGCACTGACTGGCACTGTTAGGTGGCACCGACTAGCACTGTTAGGTGGCACTGAGGGGCACTGATAGGCGGCACTGACGTGCACTGATAGGCTGCACTGACTGGCACTGATAGGTGGCACTGATTGGCAGCACTGATAGGTGGCACTGACTGGCATTGATAGGTGGTGCTGACTGGCACTGATAGGTGACAATAAAAGGTAGCTCAGATGGGCACTGATATGTGGCATTGATGTGGCACTGATGGGCACTAGCAGGTGGCACTGATGAGCACTGACAGCTGACATTGATGGGCACTGACAGGTGGCACTGCTGGGGCTACACTGATCATCAGGGCACACTGATCATCAGTGCCCTGATGATCAGTGTACATGTCCCCTCTGAGGATTGCCGATTACCGGCTCTCTTCTCCTCTCGAGCTGTCAGTGTGACAGCTCGCGAGGAGAGAAATGCTGATAACCGGCATCTCCCTATTTTACATGCGATTAGCTGTGATTGGACACAGCTGATCAGATGACCGAGCTGACATCTTCGGCTCTTTTCATTGATCGGTGATCCGCTGTGTCCGAGGGACACAGCGCACCACCGATTGCCACGCTGCAAGCTCCCTGAACTGTCATATGACGTCCCCCCAGAACGAGAAAACCGCCTTGCGCCCGCCATTACCTTATATGGTGGGCGGGAGGTGGTTAAAGCAAGATGGTGCTACAGTTTTTTCTGCCTCACAATATTTGTGCAAATGTTTATGAACTCTATAGTATGTTTCCAGTGAAAAATACACTATATTTTAGTGCACAGAAACACAAAATACAGTAATCTCCACGTTTTAAAAACATTTTCATTAAAAATTAAACTTCTTGAGTTAAAAATAAATATATCTGGCCTCAAAAGCGTGTGCATTTTGCAAACCATGAGAAACCACATTACCCAAAATTGTAAATAGGCACTGCATTAAAAACTGTGAAAAAAGTGAAATCTTGAAGTGGCACTAAATGCAAAACTTTTTTTTTTTAAATTTTGGATAGAGTAAGGGAGGATTATCTATCATAACCTGTCAGTTTTCTTTTATGCCATCTGTGTCCCATTGTTGGGGAGATTTCCCTTCACTTCTTGTCCCATGGCCAAAACAGTTAGGAGAGAAAATTTCAGTAGGGATTCTCTAGTTGTCACCAAGGTCACTGAACTAGTTTCAATAGTTCTGGATATAACCCCAAATGTATGGTTTCCTTTGCTTGCCTTTTTCTGGCCCTTGGGGCACTGTTCTTTCCAATGATAAATGGCTCTATTCCCCACACTGACACCAACAATGAGGTACAATTCCTGAAACATTTGATGGAGCACTATCCCCCCACCAATACCAATGATGGGCACTATTTTTCACTGGCACTAGTGATGGAGAACTATTCCTTACACTGACACCAACGATAGGGCACAATGCATTTTAGTGCTAAAAACAATGGGGCATTATTCCTCTCAATAATACCAATGATGGAAAACTATTCCTCCCAGTAATACCAATGATTGGGCACTATTCCTCCTTCTACTGACCACATAGTATGCTATGTAATTTTTTTACTCTCACTGATCACCAAGCCTTTGACAGTGTTTACTCCCACTGATGCTAGGGCATTTTCTCTCTCACTGGACACAATCCAGCCCCCTAAAGTCTGAAAAACAATAACTGGCCCTTTGTTTAAAAAGTTTGGAGATCCCTGCTTTAAAGTACAATTATAAAAACATTTTGGGATTTTGGGGGGACATTAGAACTCCAGTCATTAGACCCACTTATTGGGTTAAGGGGTCTAGAGAGCTGATGAGTATTCTACATAAGGAAGATATGTTATTCATAGTTGTCAGTGAGTTTGTTTTAACAGTACCGTGGTAGCAATTTGTTTTTTCATTTGGCATGCAGAAGTTATTTTTGGTGGACTGCACAAGACATGTGAAAAGAAGTTTCATTGTTTTTTGTTCTGTAAGGACGTTGCATAAGAATCTCTTTTTTGTGTCACTTTTTGAGTGTAGATAGAGAATATTTCACATATGCGTAGCACCCTCCTAGTTAGGTGCTAGGATGTGTATAGTTAAGTTAAGCATAGATGTGTTTGATTGCTTACCAGAGAGGCTGTCAGGTAAATTCAGTGTGGTATTCTGCTTAACAGAGAGCTGTGATTTATTAGTTAGGTCTGCTCATGCTGCTCTGGTGCTGTTGGAGCTATGAGAACCTTCCAGAACATGGGTAGGGGCTAGGCAAATGAACATGAATATGGATACAGCCCTGGCCAATTACAGAGGAAGGCAGTCCCATTGCATGCTGGGAGTGGTATTTATGTTCTGAGAGCACATGGGTTCGGTGTCTTTAAAGGAGTGGATTGCACCAGCCAGGCTGGAGGCAGGCTGCCCCTCGTGGCACTTGCTGCCATGTGGCCTCAGGTGGGTCAACCTGAGGTCCTGAAGCAAGAAAGAGTGACCTTTACATAGTTACATAGTTAGTCTGGCTGAAAAAAGACAAAAGTCCGTCCAGTTCAACCATTAAAAAAAAAAGTTATAATCGTATACTCACAGCTGGTTTTGCAGGAAGCTGACTGAGGGGAGTTGTCTGCCAAGGCTCTGTCTGATATCACTGTAGGGTTTTGCTTGAAAGATTGGAAGGAGGCAACCATTCTATCCTTGGGCATTGTGAGTACTGACATTGCCTTTTTGATAGTTAGCGTGTGTCTGGTAAAAGGGAACACTGGCTAGTGTTCTGAAGAGCTTGTCCAAGTGTGCTACTGCAAAGGACTTTGCTCAGCTACGTTACCTTTGGGCTGTCGCAGTCTGTCGTAACTTGCTTACACCTGAGAAGCTCAACCCTTTAACTACTACTACTGCAAAAAGGGACTTTGCTCACTCCTAAAACCACTTGCTGCTGTATGTTACAAGGAAGTCTGCTATCTACTCTCAGGCTGCTGAAATACACTGTACCTGGCTGCAGGGCGAAGAGTAAGGAGAAACAGGGACATCATACAAGCGGCTCCTTCAGGGGTAGCGCAACATATGAAATATGTGAAAGCACAGAAGTACTTTATGTGGATATGATGTCACTTTATTTAGTATATTGTATACAGTTAGTTCTATTTTATTTTTAAGCTTCAGTGTTATATGGGATGGCCACAACAGTATATACTGGAAATAGCAATGAGAGTGATACAATGAAGAGGCAAGAGTCCAAGAAATGTTCTTATCATTAGTTATACTAAAGACATCATTACTTACTAGTAAATTTAAGTGCATGTAAAACACAGGTGTAGGGATTTAAGCGGTTGTAGGCAATATATTTTTGTGTCAGATATATATCAGATATTCCTATCTCCTTTTCCCAAACTGTCATATAGTGATTAGGGAAGTTTTGATGCTGTGCTGATTGGCCCTGTGCTGATCACATGCACCCTCACAAAGAAAAAAATAACTCTCTAGCAATGAACACTAAACTGAGCATGTTCAGAGTGACTTCTGGAGTTCTGTACTATCAGCAGATGGATTGGGGACAGTGGAAGAAGGGGAGGATCAGAGAAGATAGGATCAAACAGCCTTTTTACACAATGCAGAGGATTAAACCCCTTAGGCTCCGTGGTGTGTATAACAAGCATTCTTTACTGCATATACAGACCAGGGGCGGACTGACCATTTTGAAACTCGGGCACTGCCCGAGGGCCCAGGGTCAGTAGGGGGCCCCATGAGATGCTCCTGGTACCTTTTTCATAGGCTTTTTTGAGTTTGGGCAAGGATACAGGGGCCCCATGATCCCCTATTGCCCGGGGGCCCCATGAGTTGTCAGTCTGCCCCTGCTGCCTATCAAACTGTGGCTTACAAAGACACTAAAATGGTTTTATATAGAAAACTATAACACTGGGGTTGATTTACTAAAACTAGAGAGAGCAAAATTTGGTGCACCTCTGCATAGAAACAAATTAACTTCTATTTTTTTTCTTTTTAGTCAAAGTGTAATTGAACAATAAGTTAGCAGCTGATTGGCTATCACGCACAGCTGCACCAGATTTTGCACTCTCTGACTTTAGGACAAAGGGGCCCCATGATCCCCTCTTGCCCGGGGGCCCCATGAGTTGTCTGTCCGCCCCTGATACAGACTGATTTTACTCTTGTGGATTTAGTAAAACTTTAACTGCTTTCTGACTGCCCTATAGCAGAACTACTGCTACAAGGCGGCAGGGCTGCCCAAAATCATGTATATATACGTGATTTTGTATTTCCGGGCAGGGGCACATGCCATTGGTGGCTACAGCTGTCGGTCACCGGGTCCCAGCCAGAGATTCCCCGCCGGCATCAGGCGATCGCCGAGGAGCAGTGACACAGGAGAGGTCTGTAAGTAAACAATACAGATCTCTCCCCTGTCAGTTTCAGCACACTGCTTTGTATTGTTCTGCATAGCAGAGCAATACAAGCAGCCTGCTTACACAGTAAAACACACACAGCACACAGTTAACCCTTTGATCAACCCAGATGTTAACCCCTTCCTGCCCAGTGTCATTATTACAGTGTCAGTGCTTTTTATTAGCAGTGATCACTGTATTTGTGTCCCTGGGAATGTCAGTGACAGTTAGTCAGTTTCCCCCAATGTCAGAATGCCCGCTGTAGTCCAGCTATAAGCACGCTGATCGCCGCCATTACTAGTATATGAAAAAAAAAAAAACAAACTCCAGTATATATACCGCCATTTGTACATGCTATTACTTTCAAGTAAACCAATTAATTTACACGTATTGGGATTTTTTTTTTAGCAAAGACATGTAGCAGAATACATTTTAGCCTAAATTTATGACGAAATTTGATTTTTGAAAATTTTTTTACTGGACATGTTTTATAGCAAAAAGTCAAAAATATTTTTTTGTTTATAGCGCAAAAAAATAAAAACCGCAGAGGAGATCAAATACCACTAAAAGAAAGCTCCATTTGTGGGGAAAAAAGGACATAAATTTAATTTGGGTGCAGCGTTGGAAATGCGTGACCGCGCAAATAAAGCAGCGTCGTATTGCAAGAAATGGCATGGTCAGGGAGGGGGGTAAATCCTCTGGAGGACAAGTGGTTAAAATAATAGTGGGTGGTGTGGAAAAAATGTTGATAGATGTTTGTAAATAAAATATGATTTGATTGGGGATTTAATAAATAAAATAATGGAGATTAGTTCACCACAACCAAGGGAATTAAAGGGTCATTGAACAGGTGAAGATAGAGCTTTTCCTATAAGGAAAAAAAATCTAACACCCAGATATATACCTCACAATCAGGGGCGGACTGACCATTCGAGCACTCAGGCACTGCCCGAGGGCCCGGAGTCAGTAGGGGGCCGCATGAAATGCCCCTGGAACCTTTTCATAGGCTTTTTTGAGTTTGGGCAAGGACACAGGGGCCCCATGATCCCCTATTGCCCGGGGGCCCCATGAGTTCTCAGTCCACCCCTACACCTTTTAATATACAGTACACAGGCAAAGGACACATCCCTGCCACGGCCCCAGGGGTGGAACCACAGAGATCTAATATGCAGATAACTGGCTAAACCACACAAGTGCATTTTTAACTC